GAAGGGGGGGCAATGACAATACAACACTCGACGCGGTCTCGAGCCCTCTAGCGACACGCCTAGCACGAGGTAGGAAGTTTCTGAGATCCTTCCCCCATGCAGCCTGAGTAAGAGGCATTGCTGTACCGTTCCTGATGTCCACGAGTCGATCCTGATACCATATCTCTGCCCCAGTCGTCCAGTGGCCCGCAAAATGGTACGGACTCGACGCAAATGTATTTGGCTTCGGCCACCATGAGGACTCGGCCATTGTACCATTTCCTGGAAAGCTATATCAGTACTTGTTGACGTCCAAGATCCTGGACACTTACGGACGGGGATAAAGTACGTGCCAATGAGGTAGGCCTCCTCCTCGGGGCTTAAGGCATCTTCGTACCACACCTCATTTTCATTGATGGCCGCCACGAACGATACACCATGACCGGTCTTGGGAACTGTCTGGCTCAGACTGTGACGAACCTTGTCCTCTGCTAGAGCGAGACCTAGACTATCTATTGCAATGCGCCATAAGATCCCACCCTGTCGTAGCGCAGACCGAGCATGCGGGAACGACCTCATGAACTGGTCCCTCCGACGCACATAGCACTTGTAGTCTACACTTGTAAACTTATGGTCCATGAGGCGCATCATCGGCTCCAGATGCCGAGGTCTGTCGGGCAAAGCCAACTTCCACATCTTGATAGGACGCGCAAACACCATACCAGTTTTCAATGCCAGAGTCAAAGGGTCAGGCGGCTCTCCCTCCGAAGTGTGCTCCTCAGGATCATTGTACAGCCGTAGAATGTGACGGGCATTTGATGCGCCCTGGATGCAGAGTGGGCCATCACTGGTCCAGGTGAGGTACCAAGACTCCTGCGGGTTCCGGTTCCTACGCTGAATGCACGCGCTGAAAAGCGTGTTCCGCAGGGACCCTGGGCCAAACTCTTCAGGGAGATTGGTATCTGACTCCTGTAAATCCTCCAGTGCTCTCAGCAGGCTCACTGCTTCAGTCATGTAACGAGTCGGATATTGTTCTTCCGCTGACGGCGCAATCGTCAGTGACCTCGTAAATACCATGAAATCTCGGTCTTCACAAGCCCTTCTCATGTCAAGACCGTCAGATTCTCCCATGAAACCATACCGATGACGAAGACAACTATATGTAGGATATGAATCTATGGTCTCCCAAGACACTTCGGCAGCCATCGAGTATACCACTTCGGCCTCTAGATCTTCCTGCGGCGGGAACTCGGACCCAATCGCATTTCCAAGAGCATGGGGCGGTACGGAGCCAGTTGCCGAGGCAGAGACGGCAAGCTTGGCAGCAGGGGGGGAAACCGGGTGAGGGGCAGCAGTTGCAGGAGGCGGGGGAACCGGAGGAGGGGTGGCAGTTGGAGGAGGCGGTGGAACAGGATCAGTAGGAGGTGAGCCTGCCGGCGGGGTGGGCTCATAGTACTCTTCATCGATGCCGGGTTCATCATAAGCCTCCACGGTCACCCGATCCGGTCGGATAGCATCATAAAGGTCCCAAGAATTCTCGGTGGGGTCATACCATTTGTATTTATCATGCACCCCAAACCATATATCCGGCACTTCAGAACGTGTTATGACACACCGCACCAGCAAGCCGCGCTCTTCGTCCAACACTTCCCAGCGGTAAACCATAGGAGCTTTCGATGAATTACCGGGGCATGGGTAGTCTCGCTGAGCTTGAGCCTTGCTGTTCCACGACTGCACTTGGCTACGAGTCGCCTTCGCATAACGCTCTGCAACGCGTGCCTTTCGCCTTTCTATGAACTCCAGGGGTCCTTCACCAATATAGGACCCACGACCAAGTGGGTCATATCGTCTTTCAGGCGCGGACTGGGCCGTAGATGACTGAGCAGGGGCGGACTGGGCTGAGGACGACTGAGCTGGGGATGACTGTAATACGGGCCATGAAGACCAGGAGGAGTGGACTTGCGGCGGTGAGGGCTGGCATTCCGGCAGCGATGAGGGGACGGATTGTCCAGCTAGGATTGCATTCACAGACCCTGCCGATGGTAGGAATGGTGCAAGATACGGTGGGACGTTGCGTGGGTCGATCTTACCAAACGCCTGCACCGATCCCCAGTAAACGAAGATCGGGTAGCCACGTTCCGTGCAGGTGCTAATCTCCTCATGCGCCCAGGACACTGGGTTTTGACCGTTGAATATTGCACCCACCCGATCAGATTTAGGACTTGATAGGAACGAGCTACTAGTTACCAAATCCAGCCAGCGCATATTCAGGCCATGTCTGTTGCAAAGCTCTGACAGGATGAGAGTCGGCTTCTTCCGCTATATTCTAGTTAGGAGATAGTCGATATAACCCATGACCATTGCAAAAGCGGTCCGACTGTACATAACCGTAGACTTGACCTTAGCCTCAGTCGGCCAGACGTTGCCATAACCATACGTTCTGGGAAACTTGGTGCTATCGTGCGGAGGGGCACCAGGAGCATGCTACCGAGCATCGAAATCAATGACAGCAGGGCTTCCTCCAAATTTGCCCAATATTCCCGATCTGCGAAC